CCCTTAAACGATTTGTCTCTCGACGCGGTCTTCCTTCAGATATTTTTTGCGACAACGCCCAAACCTTTAAGGGCGCAGACAAGAAATTAAAAGAGATGCACCGTTTATTCGCTAATGATGATTTTCAAAGTACTATTTCTGGTAACACTTCAAATAAGGGCATTCAGTTTCATTATATTCCAGCATATAGTCCTCACCAAGGTGGATTGTGGGAGGCAGCTGTAAAGTCCTTTAAATATCATTACAAACGAATTTTAGGTTCAAAAATATATACTTATGAACAATTAGTTACGTTAACTACTGAAATTGAATCTATTTTGAATTCGCGTCCAATATGCCCTATGTCTAATGATCCTAGTGATTTTAGCACGCTAACACCAGCTCATTTTATAATAGGTTGCCCGTTCACTACATTTCCGCAACCATCGCTAATACATATTCCTAATAATCATTTAACTCTTTGGAGGTCCATTGAACAATTCAAACAGCATTTTTGGCGGGCATGGTCAAAGGACTATCTAGTCTCTTTGAATAAACGGACCAAATGGCAAACGATTCAACCAAATTTAAAAGTTGGCAATATGGTACTATTGAAAGATGATATGATTCATCCTCAGTTTTGGCCTTTAGGTCGGATCACAAAAACATTTTCTGGCAAAGATGCTAAAGTCAGAGTAGTTGAGGTAATGACGCCTGACAAAAAAATACACATTCGAGCCTTTACCAAAATTGTATTGTTGCCAATTGATGAAGCATGATTTAAATACAAATTAAGCCTCAATGTAATGTATTTTTGTACATTTAATTGTTATACAATTCGTTTTATTTTCATTCCCTCATGGACTTATGTTTTCTGTCAAAAGTCACTGTTATTTCATATATAAGTTGTTTTGTTTATTAATGCATTCATGCGCGGGCGCAATTATGTCTACGACATAAAACCTTTTTGTTATTTAAGTTATGATTTACTTTTTTTTGACATTGTCACTTCCATTTTTTCATCGTTTCAAACCACACAAATATAATAAAATTATAATATAAAATATTTAAAATCTTTAATTAATTTCTTACAAAAACCCAGTAGTCTTCACACGGGTCTGCATATACAACAACTATTCTGTGTTTAAACAGATTTCAAGAAACCGAAAGAGACTATATTAGTTGCAGATAATTTGAAAGTGGTTCGAAATTCAAACAATATTTTCTTCTAAAGAAAAGTTTACTAGAATAAAATCCACGCGGACCAGGCAGCGGACGGGACTCGAACCCGCACCCTTCGCAATCCGGGCGAATGCACTGACCATTACGGCCCAATAGGGCGAAAAATTTCGAATTTTCGAAATCGTCGAAATTTTTCTAGCCTTAAGCTGCAAGGCAGCGCCATCTCTTCGCATTGTAGGTAACCCACAATATTTTCTTTTATTTTCTCTCGGTTTTCATCTAATATTTCTACGACTACGCCTTGTTACCACGGACTCCAGAAAGCTAAGAATAACGTATAAAAATCGATCCAATGCACTTTTTACCCGTTTATATTTTTTTTTATTATTCGTTTGTTCACAAAATCAGTATTGATTGGTAATCAGAAATCATGTGCAGAGTTGATTGTACAAGTGGAATGAGCCCATCAAAATTCCAGGCCGCGTCGAGATGCAGCCAGGGTGGTCTTATGGGCGGGAAAGAGAGAAAGAGGAGAGAATGGTTTATTAACAATAGGGGTGATGACGGGGTACAGTAAACAAAATTCTATTTAGTCCGTCAGTTAGATGATCAAAAAATAATGGACACTTATTTTTTCTTTGGGCAATCAACCAAAAAATTACAAAGTTATAGCGCGTCAAAGTTTGGGAGTAGGGGCTCATGACGTCACTTTTAAGTGAAAATTGTACCAAAACGTGACGTCATGTGACTTTTCAAATCAATATATCTCTGCAATGTTTATATTATGTGAAAAAAGAAAAAATACGTGTCCAATACTTTTTAATCTACTTGATAAACGAAGAAAAAAAATTAGCCATCATCCCTATTGAATTATTTTTTTGTTATCTATACTAATATCTAGCTAGAGGAACTCGATGGCGTAAATGGTAAGCGCGTTCGGCTGCGGTCGTCGAAGTTAAGTAACTTTCGCAGTGGTCGGTCATTAGATGGGTAACCAAAAATTTACTATCTCGAGCTCTTTCGTGCTTCGGAAGGCACGTTAAGCCGTTGGTCCCGACTGCATCTGCAGTCGTTAGCACCCACCAATTCGCATTGGGCCCGGCTGGTGGATCATGGCCCAGTCTCCCTATTCTATCCATAGGGAAGGTCTGTGTCCCAGCAGTGGGGAGGATAATAGACTGATGATGATGATGATACTAATATTATAAAACGGAAAGATTTGTTTGTATTGAATAGGCTCCGAAACTATTGGACCGATTTGAAAAATTCTTTCACAATTCAGAATCCTACAGGAGTTTATTTACGGTGTCACCCGGCGCTTTGATCACTCGCAAGTTATTTCGCGATCGCAAAAGGATTTTTCCGTTGTCAGATAACCACGGATAACCGTGATGAACATAAGCTATTGAGTATTTTCAAAAAAGTAAGGGGTTCCGTATGAAAACTTCAATAATGTCACACCACACACGTTGTGTAAAAAAACACCAAAAAATATCCTTATATCGCGTACGCTGCGGATGTCATTGACAATAAACCAGATAATCTGAGAAATGTGTTGGATCGTAGAAAGTTTTTGTTGCCGAAATGTAATAATGTCCACGGAAATAGAAAGCTATGTTATTTAATACCTTCCTATCTCAATGAATTGCCTAGTAATCTACAGGAAATGTACTCGAACATTGTAATCAATAAATACCTATAAAAATTTAAAAGATATTACTTACAAAATAGTCAACCTGAAAGTGTATATAAAGTGGTAAATGAATGGCACCCATACACATATAAACCTTAACAGGTTTTCGTGTATGGTTTTTGAAATATGTTTGTGTATTGATGAATGTGAAATAATAATATGTGACGTGGCACTGCGTAGATTTGTCTAGGCAAGATTGGTTAGCGGCCGTGTAAATAACGTTTGTCTGTGTGCGTGCGTCGATTCGGGCGCTAGTATGAAGTCGGGGTACTGCTTTGTACTGTGACGGAAGCTTACAAACGGAATATTTTCATCCGTTTTTGCAACATTTTTCACGATGCTCATATCCAAAAAAATATTTTTTCATCACGGAACAGCGGAGCAATTGTGCATTCGGTACAACGAGTCCTTAACTACGCAATAACATTTTTACTTGGAATGGAAGGTACGAAGAAAGTAGTTGTGTACAATACAAGCCTGAGCACAAAAACTATAGTCTACATTACTGCTCTATACCGAAGCGAAGCGAGGGCGGGCCGCTAGTCATATTACTCGCATATACAGACAGCTTCAAGTCGAGTCACCAAAAACTTTAAACAAAATCAGCTGTCTTTGAGCTTTAAGCTTCGACTAAGCTAAGACTAAGTTATTATTCCTTATCAAACAGTAAAGTCGTAAAAGGTTTAGTTTAGTAATATCATCAGCTTTTGGAAATCACAAATTTTCGGGTAAAACATTTAATCGTAAAGCACCCATATTGACCCCTAGACAACGGCTAACTAGAGCCGAGGTCCGAGTCTCAGAGACGCGCTCTAGTTGAGCCGACCCTCTCAGGTTCCAGTGGTCTAGAGGCTCCAGACGGAGAGACTCCCCCCGCGGAGAGATGCCATCCGCCTGGAATACCTCTAGAGGCACTCGCCAATTCTCGGCTTGAGGTCCCGTTAGGATCTCGCCGTCCCCAAACCCGGTGACGCTGTAAAGGTCATCTGCGAACAACAGCATACACACTCAAACAAAAATCCATATTGCACCATTAAGAAGTCGAGCGGATCACTAGTTTAACACAATACTCAAACACACATTATTAACCAATCGTAACAGATAGACCTACTGCGGTTTTTCCCATTGATATATTTTCTTTTTCGTATTTATAATATAACTATGGAGATATGTTTTCACGTGAGACAGATTTAAAACGCTCAACGTGTATTGTCATGCACCGAGTATATCCTTTCACCAAAGTATGAAAACCTCATAAAAGTATTTCCTCTCCTCCCCAAGAAAGAATCCTTGATTAAATACAAAGTTATCTACACCCAAAACACGGGGCAAACGTAGTAGGTACGCAGGTACATATAATGAATTTTAAATGAACATGGGGGTGAGATGGAAAGCTATAGGAAACTCTGAAACTGTAACTTCTGGGGATGCCAAAGGTCCCTCTTACGTAAGTACATACGCCTAGAAAGCTCCCAAAGATTAATAAAGAATTAAAAACATCATTAACTATAAAAAAATAAATCGAATTTCCCGTAATGTGGGACCGGTTACCTGCTACCATTTTCGAATAAGAAAACAGCTAAGTGACACCCCGGTAAAAACAAAAAAGAACTTAAGCTTTCGGGAAATAGAGTTGTCTTCTCCGTATTTGAGAAATGAACATGCGCCGTTGTGAGGTTTTTCAATTTTGGAACGTAGGTGTTCAGTCATTATCCGAAGTCAGTTTTCTCCTGAAGCTGCGGCTGTGCGGTCGTGTCGCGACGGGCTGTGATCGCAGCTGTGCTCTCGAACGCGATTTCCGTATTCGAACGATTACAATTTTGCCTAAACGTTTTCCTCGAAAATTGTTCTGGCTCAATTAACATATTTTATAACTAGTTTTCGTGTGTACATTTTTTTTTGCTGTTGCGAGAGTGTTATAAGAGGAGAAATTACTTCCGTCATTATAGGCGGAATTACAGCGAGTGTAAAGGTAAGATTGGTGGAACTGATATCGTTGGCCATTCCAGGTTCGTTTTGAGTTTTGTCGCAAATGAAATCATTTGTTCCGTATATAAATAGCATGATTCGGGTGCCCCTTTTGTAATGAGTCGTGTGTATACAAACGGTAAGATGTTTACGAACTAATTTCAAAGAAACGGCTCACTTTTGATCTCGGGATCACGTTCGGGTTTTCCTTTAAGCCGTTCTGTTGAATGGGATTTTTTTTTTGTATTTTTTGCATTATATTGTTATAATACATATCTTTAATAAGATAAATATAATCATTTTTTAAAATTAAGCTGGTTTGGATTAATAAGTTTAAGTTAGTATAATCAATGTCGTAATCGGTTAAGAAAGGAGGTATTTCAAAAGAGTTGCTTCAGGTTTGTTTGCATTATATATGCAAAAGTAATTTCTAACATGAATACTGTAAAACAAAAAAAGACTTTTGTGAACTCAGTTACTGCCCTTTTATAAATTTAATTGAAATCCCAAATAATGCTTAAATTGTACCGTACTTTAGTACTACAAATCGTTAATAGTTTTTTATACGCGAGTGCTACAAAAAGCTTTTTTGTAGCACTTTTTATAAATTTTGTGCACACGGATGTTTGTGAGAATAATGTATAATTAAAGTTTAAACCGAGAAGAATACCGTCTCCGAAATCGAATATTTCATCAACCGTGCACTCATTTTTAATAGGGTATTTGACAGTATTAAAAATAAAGTGCCAATTGTTAGCATCTGTGTTTAGAATGAATATTGGCAGGGGTTTTTACTTTTTTCACAAAAAAAATATTTATAATTTTACTAAAAACCCACGGAAAAGATAATAGTAGATCTATTGTCACGTGACCCAAAACGCTTGGGATTGGCGGAGCCTAAAATGACGTCACACGCATGTAAAGTTCAGGTTAAAGTGACATTACATTGTATTGTTTGACGTTTTAATAACAGTCATATGACGTCACACACCAGCGGGTTATTATTGTCCAGAGAAACGTTTTCGCGGCAACTTGAAAATGGAGTTTTTGATTTGGTTATTTTTACTGAAATACACAACAGAATGATGAATATCCACTTTTTACGAACTCCTAAAACATTAGTCAATTACGTGAGATCGTTTTCTAAAACTTGTCAAATACCCTATTTTTTATTGCGACGTAATTAAGCCGAACCATTTTTAAGAAGCTGATAACTGGTGATAGAAATTGGATCACGTACGACAAGAACATGCGTAAAAGGTGCTGGTTAAAGGCCGGTCAGGCTTCATACACACACCACTTAGCCTAGCCCCAAAGTAAGCACTGTAAGGCTTGTGTTATGGGATGCTAGGGTAACGGATAGAATACATATATAAGTATATTTTATCTAGAAATATATATAAACATCCATGACTAAGGTACAAATGCTCGTATTCATCATACTAACATTTGCCCCCACCGAGATTTGAACCCGGGACCTCTAAGTAGGCGACGCCATGAAACCCGGCGTATGCCATGGAGGTCGTCAAATTAAATATATAATATTTTGTAAACTATTTATTCAATAAACTTAAAGTAAGATGAAGTTAGTAGAGGTCAGTATTTCATTAATGATTGTAATGTCAAAAAAAAAGGGAAGTGTACATATGCAAGCGTCGTTAACGTTTGGAAATATTTTTGTCTAAAGTCGGATAATGATACAATGTCGCGTTTAACCGACACTATGGTAACAAAAGAAATGGGAAAAATCCATCAATCCATTCTATGGGATAATTTCAACCGCCATTTTTAAACCATAATGGTGAGTAGGCAGTGGCGGATGAAACGTTGAGAGCGCCGTAGGCAAGCATCTCATCGGCGCCCCTATATTAAAAAGTAATGACTCCGTCTTCGCTTCGCTTCGGTGTAGAGCTGTAGCTTTTTTATTTTTATTTATTTGTTTTCAAAAAAAAATGTTACAAATTTTATGCTAAGTCTGCCAAACTGCAACACAGTTTGTCGGCAGCAGTTCCCTTACAACTTAAATAATAAAATAATCTATATATATATACTAGCTGACCCAGCGAACTTCGTACCGCCCTAAAAAAATAGGGGTTGTCCAGCGGACAAAATTGTGAATCTAAACCATTCTCAGATCCCCTTGAACACACACAAAAAATTTCATCAAAATCGGTCCAGTCGTTTAAGAGAAGTTCAGTGACATACACACTCACAGAAGAATTATATATATAAAGATTTATTTTCTAACACTAAGCTAGTAGTTGATTATACTGTAATATGCAATTATGCAACACATACATTGCGTTGACGATCTCCGTGGCCGAGTGGTTTATACGCCGGGTTTCATGGCGTCGCCGACTCGAGAGGTCCCGGGTTCGAATCCCGGTGGGGGCAGATGTTTGTGTGATGAATACGAGCATTTGTACTCCAGTCATGGATGTTTAATATGTACTTCATATAAATATACTTATATATGTACAATATATGTATTCTATCCGTTACCCTAGTATCCCATAATACAAGCCTTTACAGTGCTTACTTTGGGGCTAGGCTAATTGGTGTGAGTGTTGGAAATATTTATTTATTTATTTATTTCTATATTGCGACTGTGACTGCATTGCATAGTGAAGGTAGACTATACTTTTTGTTCTCAGGCTTGTATTATACACAATTAATATCTGCATGAAAGTTAATTTAACTGTTAGAGAAAAGAATTTTGTTGCGTACTTTAGGACCCGTTGTAACGAATGCACAATTTTTTTGATTGAACGCACAAATGTCAAGAAGTGATGGTCCGATTTGAAAAAATCTTTTTGTGTTAAATAGTGCATTTATTGAGGAAGGATTAAGTGTCGCCGCACACGGGTCACACGCCACAGCCACAAACACCGCCACGAGAAGCTAGAAGCGGCTACTAAAGTGGCTGAAGCGCGCGACAGCGGCCGACTAAGGTAAGGGAGAGAGGGGTGGGGAATCGCGCGAGTGACGTGTGGCGGCGTTTTGTATCGGCGCATTAAGTGGCCAGTCCGGCCACAAGAAGCGAGCAACGACGATTTGTAGCGTTTGGCGGCCACCGGCGTACCGTGTGTGGCGAGTCCATATAAAATGTATGAAAACTACAAGAAATATGCCGGTAGCGGCGTTTTGTGGTTGTGGTGGGTGGCTCGTGTGCGGCGACACTAAAGCTCTAAAACATGACACTGTGACCAGTAAGAGCATATTATCTATGTAAAATGTTGCAAAAACGTGTACAAATATTCCATTTGTGAGCTTCCGTGGAGTGCGCTGCGTAAATGATTCAAGTTACACAAAAATCATTTATGGCGGAATTGTTTCCTTTAAAAGTTGTATTAAAAGTCCGCAACAGCATATTATGCCATCTTTTATGTTTGGCTCACTATAACCTTTTTCCTCAAATTGACGCGGGGAAATCGCACGGGACCTTTAGGTGTGACATAACTGTAATAGTTAGACATATGGTATCACAGACTTTTATGATATCGAAGTATTCTCCGGCAGCGTAAGCGATATAAGGTAATTTTATGGTATTTTTTGACACTCTGAGTTACGTTATCGAAGTTTTCATATGGAACCTTAACTTTTTTGAAAATACTCTATCGCCTATGTTTATCAGGGAGAATGTACCATTCAAATGGTGAAAGAATTTTTAAAATCGGTCTAGTAGTTTTTGAGCCAGTTCGTTACAAACATAATTTTAGTATAGTTAAAGATAACTCGTACTATAATTTGACGGAAACCGATCCGGTCGATGCGATGAACATTGCAATTGTATCTTTCCAACTTCAATCAGAGATCATGTATCATCGATATGGTTGTTAGGTGGCTTACTTACTGGCCTAATTAATTTTATACTAGGTATATTATATATATTTTTCTTTATTTTACAATTCCGCCCGCGCGCCCCTTTGTACCCTCGCGCCCCTAGGCACATTCCTAGTTTGCCTTAAGGATAATCCGCCTCTGTGAGTAGACAAAAGTAATGTCTAATTAGTTATATAAGCTGTAATTCGTTTTACAAAATAAATAGGTAATACAGTGAGTGACTCCGTCCGCGTGAAGTGTTTATAGAATCCTTCAGGAACCTCAATTTTTTTCAGGAAAAATGTATCCTTTGTCCTCAATCCAGGTAATAATGTATAATATGTGCCAAATTTCATCCGAATCCGTTCAGTTATTTTTGCGCGATTGAATAAAAATCATACGAACTTTCACATGTATAATATTATGGGTAGACCGCTTAACTGAGTCCTCGCCTGCTGAGTAAAGGCATACCCTTACAACAATTTACCGCCACCGAGATTTGAAACCGGGACCTCTGAGTAGGCCATGCCATGGAACCCGGCATATATACGTACCGCTCGGGCTACATTATGGGTAGACCGCTTAACTGAGTCCTCGCCTGCGGGGTAAAGGGTGTAGGGGTAGGATGAGAACGGGGACCGTGAGAGGTGCGGGCGCTTGTAATTTTGACAAGAATGTGACTGCCCACACCCTTTACCCCGCAGGCGAGGATTCAATTAAGCGGTCTGCCTATAGTAGGCTAAGGAAGGCTTCCTTTACAATGAACGTAATTAATACGTCGTGAGAAATATTGTAAACAAATACGGAAACATTTTGGTCACAATGTTCACTTGTTAACCACTTCAGACTTAGGTATCAAGATTTGAAAATGAACAATTTTGTTAATTTTGGTATAAGGGTCGATGTGCTGCTCATCGTGCTTATTAGCGTTAATTAATCGTTTCCACGAAGTGAAGACGTTAGTAATCAAGGTCTTTATATGAACATTACATAATATATGTAAGTATATATGTATGTGCTCATATATTAAACATAATTTTGTGTTCGCAGAAAATTTCTAAGATAAAATGACTTATTATCATTTGATATTTATGTATCAAATATTATTGTCTAATTATGTAGCTCCATAAAATCATATTCGATGTGTCATTATAATTTAATTTAATAAGCACGCACGTTAGCAAAATTATTGGTTTATTTAATATATTTATACTAGCTGACCCAGCGAACTTCGTACCGCCATAAGAAAGGGGCAGGTGGTAGAAGAGAAAATTTAGGGTTATATGTATTTTTAACACCACATTAAAAAAAATGCCCAAAAAAATTTTAGGGGTGTGTAACGTAGTGTTCTATCAATTTCCGGGGACAACATTCCTCCTAACCTATATGAGAACACTACCTTACAATACCCAATAGTTTGAATTTTGGCGCGAA